TGTGTGTGTGTGTGTGTGTGTGTGTGTGTGTGTGTGTGTGTGTGTGTATGTATGCATACGTGGCCACACTTGATCATATATGCGCTCTCATTACTGCTGGAGTTATAGGTGTTGACTGTTTTGTGTAGCTTTGTTTACATTGGTGTTAGGAATCCAAATTCCAGCCCCTATGCTTGTGCAGCAAGCACTTACCTGGTGAACCAGCTCCCTAGCCCAGTGCTAAGTCTTTGTGTCACTTTCCCTGGACAGTGGGCCCAGTATCCATACACATTTGCTTTGTTTTGGGAGATTGTTTGAGATAGGGTTTCATGTCTCATACATGGAAGGCTGGCTGCCTTTTAGCACTGTGTAGCCAAAGAAGAGCTTAAACTTTTTTTTTTAGACAAGAGTCTCACTGACTATCTTTGGCTGGCCTGGAACTTGAACTTGGTATGTAGGACAGGCTGGCTTAGAACTCACAGAGATCTGCCTTTCTCTGCCTCCTGAGTCTGGGAATAAAGGCATTCATCACCATTGCATGGCCACACATTAAGATTTTTAGCAAGGGCGAGCTAGATAAACTCAGCAAGTAAGGGTGCTTGCTGCATTAGCTTCGTGGTCTAAGTGTAAGTTAAATCCCTAGAACCAAGTCAGAGTGGAGAAGAGAACTGACTCCACAAAGGTGTCTTCTCACTTCCACATGTGCGCCATAGGTCATACATCATAGGCACATCCAGGAATTGAAAAAAGGGTCTTAGAGAGATGGCCCAGTGGTTAATCGTACTGACTGCTTTTGCAGAAGTCCAGTGTGGTTCCCAGTACCCACATGGCAGCTCACAACCTCCTTAACTCCAGTTCAGGGGTCCAGTGCTGCTTCAGGCCAGTGCTAACACCAGATATGCACGTAGTCTACATGCATGAAGACCTCTGGTTCTAAACATTTCTAGTGCTGTAACCTTTACTATAGTTCCTCAGGGCGGAGTGACCCTCCCAACCCTAAAACTATTTTCATTGCTACTTCGTAACTGTAATCTTGCTGCTATTAAAAATTGCAATGTAAGCCAAATGTGGTGGTTGGTCATGTACTCTGGAGGCAGACACAGGCAGATCTCTGAGTTCGAGGCCAGCCTAGTCTACAGAAAGTTCTGGGGCAGCCAGGGTTGTTACACAGAGAAACCCTGTCTCAAAAAACCAAAAAAAAGAAAAAATCATAATGTAGATATCTGTGTTGTCCGATGGATTTAGGCAGCTGCTGTGAGAA